TTATCCCAATGGCTTCTAGTATTGTGAGGGAGGCAAACTTGTTTCTGTCCAGTTTTTCCACACCACAGATAACTTCATAAACCTCTATCATGTCCCCTCACCTTTTACTCCCTTTTTTCTACGTTAAAAAGTCCTGACCATTGTAATCTCTGAAGAGTTGCCTCAGTCTCCTAATCATTTTGGTTGCCAGTAATTTCCTGCACCTCTTTTTTTAAAACATGTTGTTACCTTGGGCACTTCCCAGTCTTCAGGTATTAAGGCCAATCTATGGGACAATATATGCTTTTTTAAATGTTAGGTTAACTATTTTACATTTGAGTTGAGCGGGAGTTTGACAGTCACAGGTAGGTCCATTTGTGGCCTTCCAGCTCTGAACATCTAGGCTTTAGTGTCTGTGTGGCACCAACAACAATTATACCAGCCTTCTCCTTCTAATACCTATTTGCATAATCACAGTTTCCAATCCTGGCAAGCAATTCCTGCAAATTTCAGTCTGTTAAAATCGAAGGCCTGCCTACCAAATCAATTGAATGTGCTATATAGCCTTTGGTCACTTTTGGATATTTAAGTTACCAGGCTTTGAAAAACAAAGAATTGTGCATCTCTGTACATCAAGTTATAAATCACAAGTCAGTCAGCACTGGGTTCAGTTGTGCAGCACTAGATCATTTTAGACCCTGGACTTAATGGTTTTATAGAGATTCCCCCTTTAGATAACCAGAATGTTACCAGTTTTGAAGCATACAATTTTCTTTCCCTACCACCGCACAACCAACAGTCCATTCTATCCAACTGCTTTGACATTCCTAATCTGTTACAGCAGAAAAAAACAACAGCAGCACACTTTTAAAAAACAGAGTTGGCAAATTAACGACATTGAGTATGTGCAGTTTCACATTATAAAAATTCATTTAAAACTTGCTGCCATAGCTACAGGAACAAAATGGTGTTTGCTTCTGCCTCCCTGATACTAAAATACATTTACTTAGGAATAAGGACCATTTGGTTGTAGAAAAGAATAATTGATTTTTCCATCATCTAATACCACCCATACAAACAACTCTGGAAAAAGTATTTATTTAGGATGCATATATATACAAAAGTTTGCAATCAATAGCTCAAGAAGGCTTCATCTGTGGATTTCTGCAAGAATATGTCTGGAACTGGAACAACTTTGCTATAGTCATTCCATAAGGAATTACCAATTAATTTCTACTTCTCACTTTAGTCGTTCTAGATCAACTATGGAGGAATATATTCGGTGCAACAGTTAAATTATTATTACAGCAGGTTGCTGAGAACAAAGGAACATGTTTCATGTGGTTCTTTAGAGGCAGCCATTTTCACTTTTGGATGCTTGCTCCAGTTTTCAGCCACTATGAGGCCCATGTCCACTCTGACAAAATTTTTAAATGAAAATAGCATGCAAAATGGCATGCAAAACAACAGTGTCAGCCAGCTGTGCTAGCTGGTGCTGATGGGAGTTGTAGTCTAAAACACTTGGAGGGCACCCAGTTAGCAAAAGCTGATATAGGTAGTCATGTATGTTACAGCACATACATCAGCTGTTTCATGCTATTTCCTACGCAGAAGTGCTATCTACATCAAGCCTGAAACAGCCCTGAATGTGTCTTCAAAGCACCAAAACTATACAGTTAACTGCAGTGCGTGCTACGTTTATTAATTTGTGTCAGAAATAACCAGCAAAGGCTACCCCACGCTCCTACTAATCTTGCCCGTTGCCATGAAATCACACAGAAAAGAGTAAGCTGTTGTTGAGATAACTGGCTTCCATTAGTAAGCATGTGATTGGCAGGACGATAAAGTCTTTTCCCTCACAGGTCAGCTACTTTTTAAAAAGAGGGCAACCCTGCTGATCCATCTTTTAGCTACAGTCTCTCACTGAGTCCCAATTCTCTTGCCTTTTAGCTTTGATATGGTTCAAGCTTTCCCCCTTGTACCAGCCCCTACCTGTCATCAGCTCCTCTGTACCAAACAGCAAATATCAGGAGTTTGACCTCAGGGCACAGTCCGGGTGGGCAGGTAAAACCTGACCACTGGACCCACTTCCTTATCTTTCATATCCTGCAATTCATGAAACAGTATCGAATTCAAACTAAAAAACAGAAGCATGACCTCTTTCTGAAAAAGGCTCTGTTGCCTTTCTAAGTATGCTTGAAAAGAACTGTCATTTGGCCTATTAAGAAAGAAATGGATCATAAATAGAAGGGAGAGGAAGAGTGTTAAATCCTTACTAAAAGCTAAATGTTGCTCTTTGTAAGGATTGACATCACTGCAATGAGCCGCTAGTAGATGAGGAAGAAAACAAAAAGGGACTGGTCTTCATTTACGTTCTGGATTCAGAAGCAAAGCAAAAATGATTGCAATGAATTGTATGAAAATACTTGTTGCTTAAATACCTGGAAGACATTCCACTTTTAACACATAATGGTGCACCTTGGAACTCTGAATGGCAGATATAGGGAACCTAATGAAAATATTATGTCATACTTAGGAGAGACACAACTGAGTTCAGCTTTTTCTTACGTAAAACTAGGATTTATCATAATGGCCTACCTTCACTGGGTAGTTGTGAAAATGAATTGGGTAATGATTTTAAAGCAAACAATAGACTAGTTATGTAAAAGAGATTACTAATAACAATAAAAATTAGAAATCCTATGATGTGAGGAAATGCAAAAGGTGCACCCCACAAAAGGTAAATTAAGGAGAACATATATATATATATATATATATATATATATATATATATATATATATATATTTCATTTCCCTCTCCTCATAAGGCCCTACTAGAATCATGCAGTCTCAAATATGATTTCAGCCTAAAGTAAAAGATCGACAAGAGATTATATTCTACAGAATAAAATGTTGCTTTTAATGATGATGCATGATAACTCTAGCCTTAAACATGTTTAAAAAACAAACAAACCCATACGAAAGCCATCATTTGAACTTACCACTTAACTATTTCACATCGCACCACACAGACATATGGGTCAAGGTTGTACTCATTATGAGATCAGCGTATATTAAAACAGCCTTTTCATTCAAATTTACAACTCTGCAAATGCATAATAATTCAACCTCACATTCTGACAACTGAATAGCTATACCCTTTTGCTTGTTACACGTGAAGTAGTGGGATAGTCATTTCCCCAAATTTCCCAAAATGTCAGAGGGGTAGTCGTGCTATGTCTGTTGCAACAAAATCAAGACCAACAAACACATTTATGGCATAAGCATCTGATGATGTGGCTCAGAAGCACCAGGGTTTCCCCAGCCTGGCTTCCTGCAGCGGCATCCTGCTTCTCCCAAGCCACCCTCTAGCGAACCTACAGAGCAGCATGCAATGCAGCCGGGGATGGAGGGTCAACAAGTCATTGTGTGAGTGGACTTCATGTCATCTGCTAACACATAGGGTTGCTTGGACTATGAATCAAAGGCTTGGTGTTCAGTAAAATGTGACCATTAACAGGCATACAAATAATGTCTTACTTGTCTGAGGTCGATGAATGCTAACTGTAAGGTTTCTCCGTGGAAGCCAGGTACAGGCTCAGAGCTGGCGAACACTGTAAGAACAATAACAATAAATCTTTTCAATCAAGAATCCAGAATTTCTTTTCACTATAACATGGATCACCAAGCACTGGGATATTGACATTTTTAAGATCAATGATCTGGAAACACACCTTCATTGGCATATTCTCCCAACATTTCACCTCTGTCCTACAATGCAGAATTCCTGTGTCCCAAATAGCACGAAAAGGAGGCAGCTTTTCTTTGTTTTGCATGGTGAATTTATCAGAAAAGCCTTTCAAAATTATTATCAGTTCCAAAGATGTCGGCATCTAATTTTGTCATTATAGCATTTGCTCTATAAAATCTTCTTAGCCTAACCAGAGGCAGCACCCTGCCTGCCCAATCGCTTCCACCACTAGCAGAATATCCCCTTCTCGCCAAATTTTGGGGGGAGGAGAGGCGTTCTGGTGTGTCACACTGCCGCTCATTTTCTCGGACCTGGGGCAGAGAAGATGAGCAGGAACACATTGCAGAATTCCCCTTCACTCAACAGCTGTGGCAAGGGGAGAGGCATTGTGGCAGCAGTGGAAGGGGGGGTAGCATGGCTGAAGGAAGGCAGCGGCACATTCCCATTTCACTTTCGGTGGCAAAATGGGATGGTTAGTCCCTAAGCCTAACCATGGTAGAAGACTGACAGTAAGAAGGGAGGGAGCATAAAGATCCAAACAGGTAGAGTAATCTAAGCAGAGTTACAGAAAAGATAGAACGTGTTTATGCCTTTAACAAGTTGTTCGTAATGGAATTCTACTCTTGAAATTCAAAAGAGTGTAAAAGCTATGTAAGAAGACCATACATTAAAATGCAAACCATACAGAAGCTGAGCAATTACAGTGGTACCTCTGGTTATGTACTTAATTCATTCTGAAGGTCTGTTCTTAACCTGAAACTGTTCTTAACCTGAAGCACCACTTTAGCTAATGGGACCTCCTGCTGCTGCCGCACCGCACAATTTTTGTTCTCATCCTGAAGCAAAGTTCTTAACCTGAGGTACTATTTCTGGGTTAGCGGAGTCTGTAACCTGAAGCGTATGTAACCTGAGGTACCACTGTAGTATGCAGGCTATGTTATAGACCAGGTAAAGGGAATAAGCAGACAAGCTGCAATATGCCCATTTTTACATCACAGTCCTAACTATGCCACTTGAAAATCAGTCCCATTGATTTCCAATGGATCTTACTTTCAAGAAACATGGTGTAAACTCAGGTATTTGAATTTAAATGCGCTTCATCCAAATGTAATAAAATTTTATTATTTGAGGCTTCACAGTAAGCATTGCTTTTATATCATAGTTACAAACAGATCTCCCTGTTTTGATCCATATTTTGAGTTGATCCAGTTCAATCTGAGACAGAGTCCCCAAACTCAGAGGTATCTCCATAAGACATCTCCATAAGACAAGTTTGTCTCTCTCTCTCTCTCTCTCTCTCTCTCTCTCTCTCTCTCTTTCTCTCTCTCTCTCTCTCTGTGTGTGTGTGTGTGTGTGTGTGAGAGAGAGAGAGAGAGAGAGAGAGAACAATTGCATTTGTCCATAGCATCCCAAGCAATTTCTATCGGTTAATCAGACCCTGACCGAGTATTGATAGATGTTCTTCATGGTCTAAAGCAAGCCCTTGGTGCATGTGTATAATGGAGACACTGTCTAAATACATTGGGCACCTGCTTTAGCCGAAATCTAGGCAAGGGCAGCAATATCAAAGGGGGGCTACTTTAGGTGAGTATGGAGTATGGGATTTATTTTCTTCACAGACCACCGCTGAGTTTCAAATATAGTCTGCCACATGGACTAAGGTGTTGGGATTCAAGAAAATCAATTCTACACCCTTATGGTTCATGGTTTGGTTCCAAGGAAAAAATATCACATCAAGGATTCTCTAATTATTCCAATGGGTTTTCACATACACATAGATGTCACTGCTATTATGCTACCAGAACTCGCCTCTTTAGCAAAGGGCTCAACCTTTGAGGAATTGTCCACTACACTGTGGTTTGTTCAGCACCAGGTTAAGAAGCTGGCTTTTTCAGTAGGCTGTTGGTCAGTGTTTTGTTTTGTTTTTTTACTTGTCTGGTTTCTGACTGTAACCTGAATATTGTAAACTATTTGTAATTTTATTCTGCTGCTATGTTTTCTGATATATCACTTGGTTGAGGAATAATGATCAGCTGTCATGTTTATGATACAGTTGCATGGTCCACTTCAGCTTGTGAGACAAAAGGAAAAACTGAATTCGCTGTAGCAAGCTGCAGTATCACATCTAGGATATTACCTCCCTGCAAAGCTGCCATTCAGAAGTTCAGAATGACAAAATGAGTATTAGCCTAAAACATGAACATCTGCTGCTAAAGTGAACGCATAATCTATGAATCACTTTGAATGGTTTTAAAGGCAGAAAGCAGTTTACACATTTCTTAAAGAAAATAGCCACCACACTGCATGTGTGGATTTGTTAAGTTATAATGCTATACCTTGAACCAACAGAAAGCCTTTCCCATATTGTTTGGTCTGCTAAGACATCCCTATGATACGAAAACCAGGAATGTTGCAGAGGACACTAGGTGATGCTTCACATTCAGTTCACATGGCATTCTGGTAACTGGTCAGGTCTATCATCCTACATAAACTGAGACTGCATTATGTAATACTTCCAAAACTCTCCTGTGGTTGCACCTTGCAGGGAAAGGTTTGGGAACAGTGCATAAGCTGCCTTTTAGACAACTTCTACCAGTTGTCTCGCTGGACATTTCAGTGATGCATAATGGTGAAATCAGGTAGCAGCTAGAACGCCGAAAGTCAATTAACAATTCCAAAAGGTTTCTGTATCAGATGTGAGAGTGCTCATGGAATCACATCTTGGTATATTGGCTACTTCCTTTTTCCACATCATCTAATCGCATACAGTAGCAAGACACTTCCTAGGGTAAATGGCACTGTCACCAAGTACCAAGCTCAAAATGTTGACCCAGGAGGGGCGAAGCTGAAGGGAGTGGGTGGTAAGATCATAAATCACAGCTGGCACAGTGATTCGTGGAATGTGCTTATGGCACAGCTTGTGAAAGAAATGTCAGAAAGAAAGCAAATTCAGCACATTCTAGAGAGAGAGAGAGAGAGTGTGTGTAGCACACCCGTTAAGCAAGACTGCCTGTGTTTTAGTTGAATTTTTCAGGGAACAGCTCAAGTTTACAAATGTTGAATCACCTATTTTGAACTTCTTGAAGTGAACTTAGACCTTCTTTTTAATACCTTAAGTAATGAGTCAGTAACACTTGTATGAGTGACCTGAAACAATGACATTTCCTACCAAGCAAAGATTCCGGCTGAATTTGAAGCAAGAGCATATTTTACTTGTGGAGTGAGGTCCTACCATCCTCACTTCTCATTACTATTTTTTTCCTTTAAAATAGTATCAAAGCACTTGCTTTAATATAGCCAGTAACAGCTGACGGACTTATCTTACTAAACATGTTCCAGTATTAAAGTCATGGTTTTACTTTCTCCTTCCAGTACAGTATAATCTGTAGACCCAAGGTTACATTTTTCTACAATAATATAAATATTATAAGGTTGGAAGGAACTCAAAGCCATTATGTAATGGTTCCTACCACACAAGATATTTTGTAACAGAAGCATTGCAACAGATGCCGAACCACTATGTTATGAAAAACAAAAAACACACAATGATCTCTTAGTTGTTTAATATGTCAAACAGGAAATGTGGGGGGCGGGTTTACAAACTGAGCAAATTTAATATAGCTTTATAAAACAGATTAAGGACATTTTAGTATATGAGAAGCAAAGAGTTGGTTTTACTGCAACTCATGGCAGCCAAAAATGGAAATGTCCAGTTGTTTGCTTAAAAACTTTTTTTTAATTAGTTTTTATTACAGATTTTATTTTGAGTTACAAAACAAACAAATAACAAGAGAAAAATACAATGGGGGGGATTGAGAGAGATGGGGGCAGGGCATTGTGTGCTTACAATTTTGAAGAACTGAGATTCCCTATTCCATTTGTTCCACTGCTAAATTAGTATAATATATTTATAAACATTTTAAATGTTAAGACCTCTCAATTGGTTCTTTTAGAGTTCTGTTGAAAAGAAACTCACCAGAACAGTTTCTGAAAGACAAATACTAACAAATTTTAAATGAATGGCAAACAAAACTCTCTTTTTTCAGTTGCTTAAGTTTCAAGTGATTTACAGACTGATCCTAAGACTTTCTCTTTTAGGAATTAAATACTACCAGAAGACATTGCCTACAACTGCAAATGTTAGAAGCTATAACGTTTTGACTGCAGTTCAGAGGAAAAACGAACACATATTAGTGTAAATGTTGATAAGGATTTTAAATGGTTACAGATCTATTAAGTTATTCCATCTTATTCCAATGAATTAAACTACTAGGCTTCTAGAAGGTATCCAATCAATGTTGTGAACTTCAGATGAAGGGTGGCATACAAATTTAACAAACAAACAAACTAACAAATAACTCTTGAACCGTTGCTTGAATAAACAGAAATATCTCATTGATCCCCAGTTTCCACATTTATTTATTACAGTAATGCACATATAATGGATATTTACATCCTCCCGCTAAACAAGAATGACTGTCTGATTACTTATAGCTCAGAATCTCATACTTACATTCACACTGTATGACATCTAAATTAAACTGCTGAATGGCTCCCATGCTAATTTGTTTTAAATCATTATCCAACAGCATCTGCATCAGGGAAGTTGACAGATGCTGGCAAGCTGACATACAAGCAGTCTGCGCCACTTTTCCCTATTAAAAAAAAAAAGGCAAGAAGTTGTAAGAATAGGTAAGTATGTTTTGTCAGAATGGTCATTTTCTCCCACATTTACAAAGCCCAAGAACAAACAGACAGTAAATGCTACATCTTCCTGTTGTACAGTAATTTTTTAAAATTCTGTTTACGAATAGTAGCTTTATTTAGAATAGTATTTTCAAATGACAATGTTAATATGTAAACACACAACTGAAACCAACATTTTATATACATTCAGCAACACACATCATAAAACAGGTTTACAAAAAACACTTGCCTTAACACTATTAAAATGGATTTCCTGGAATGCTACACATTTCAAGCTTGACAGTTCAAATATTCCCTTCTCTATCTATGCACCTATACATTTGGGAGAACGAGAATTCTAAAAATAATTAATCCATGAAGTCATATGCAGCCCTCTGCTGTTCAAGTATACACACATGTTTCATGGTACACATTTCTGCTCCAGTAATCATAGCATAAATGTCAGTGCCAGTGATGGAAAAGGCAGGTTAAACACGCCAACACAACAGCTTATACACATTTCCAGAGAAGCAAGTCTCATTGATTTTAATGGAAATTATTTCTAAATAAGTGGCTGGATCAAGGCACAGGTATGAATTCTAATCTAATCAGAAGGAACAGTTAAAGAATGTTAACAAAAGTTACTGCTAACATTTTAGGGCTCTCCTCAATTCTAAATTAAATACATTGGAAAATATAAGAATTTGCTTTAATACTTTGGTAATTTGTGAGTTTAAACACTAGTATGCTCAACAGTGTAATCCCGTGCATGTTTACTCAGAAGTAACTCCCCTGGGTTCAATCAAGTTTACTCTTAGGTAAGAATCACTGGGTTTCATCTTAAGACTGCAATCCTACACATCTGGAAGTACGCCCTATCAAATACAATAGGATTTACTTCTCTGGAAACATGCACAGAATTGTGCTATATAATACGAATGATGCCATTCCTAAATAAAGCATTAAATTGCATTATATGTCCAGGTTCGTGTTTAACGCTAGGCCATACTGAAGGTAACGTCAGTAAGCCAAGAACAAATCATTGCATTTTCCCCCACTAACAAACCACAGTAATAGGGGCATAGTTCACATATAATGCTAATCATGGTTTATTAACAAAGGCTTACTTAAACCATGGTTTGATGCAAACCAGGCCTATATCTTGTTGCATACCAAACGTACTGATTCAAAAGGAGAGAAATGACAACCCCTCACAGAAGATAAAGTAAGTTTCTTTGGTTTCTATAGACAGGTTAAGCTGTTCATTATAGATTTGAACTATGACTTAAAGTTTAAGGTTATTAGGGGCAGATAACCTACTTAGCATCTGTATGTGTTCAGCTACCTTTAGAACCAAACAGACAGAAAAAGACTCAATTTTGAAAATTCTCCTATTTTTGGTTTGTATTTATTATTACTGGATACTAAAGTATATGTTCTGTTCATGGTCCATGACACATCCTCTTTGGTGGACATTTAAAAACTGAAAGCTTTTATGAAACTAACATTTGGCAGGTACAAACCAAGTGTCAACAGAAAACGAAATAAATGAAAACACACTGGAACATGCTTGAAATGTCTGAAACCCAGCAGTGACCAGACTGGGGGACATGCAGTTCTAATTCCCCAAATGGAACAATATCAATATGAATGGGGGGGGAGGGGAGAATTGGGGCGGGGAGGAGGAGAGAAGAATCAATGGGCT